TCCTCCCCTCGTCCACAACAAATTGACGATGAGCGATTCGAACTCACACAAGAAGAAATAGAAAAATCCTCCCCTCGTCCACAAAAAATTGGCAAAAAAGCGTTACGAGGATTAAAAATACGTAAAATTGAGTTATCATGGAAGATTTTAAAAATATTTTGGTAGAACTGGTAAAATACCAAAATGACCAACAATTACAACTACAAGAAAGAATGGAAGAAAAATGGCAAAAACAATTACTATAAATGCAGAAGGAAAATCAAGAAAGACAAACAGAGCTCCAGGAACTAATATTGAAAGTAGCGGGTAACAAGCAATTAGATATTGAAAAAGAGGCAACTTTTTCGCAAGACGCAGTGTGGAATACCATAGAGATTTTCAAATATTCTCTAGATGAGGATAAAAATTTCATAGATTACTTCAGAAGACATGAAGACATCTTTAACAGTGACTATCAAAACTGCACAGAAGCAAAAAAGCTACGTCTACTGCTTAGAAAATTAGGAACTGAAGAATATACAAAGTTATCTTGCCAAAAAAGACGAACGAATTAACATTTGACGAAGCAGTTATATGTCTTAAAGAACTCTTTAGTCCAAAAACATCACTCTTACATAAGAGGTGGAAATGCCTTAACCTGGTAAAGGGCGATAATGAGGATTATTCCACGTTTGCTGCAATCATAAATAAACATTGCGATGACTTCAAATTAGCGGAATTAACCCCGGACAATTTTAAGTGTCTCATCTTTGTTCAAGGGTTAGTTTCAACAAAAGATAGTGAAATGTGCAAAAGAATGCTTTCAAAATTACAAAATGAACCTGGACTAACACTACAACAATTATCGGAAGATTGTCAGAAATGTCTAAGTATAGGTAGACGGTTTCAGTGATGGCCGTAAGCACATCAGCTGTTGATCGGGCATAGCGGAAACCATATTGCTTGTCTGTCAGCAGATTATGGGATGTAAGGTGATTAACCACTTCAGCATTGATTAGGGCTTCGAAGATTTTGCCGAAGGGGGGTAGGAGACTAATAGGACAGTAATTAGAGGAGTCAGAGGGGTCTCCAGAGTTCTTAAACACAGGAACAATGGATGAGGACTTCCAGCAGTCAGGAAAACAGGATTCCTTGAGGCAGTAATTATACAGTTTAGAGAGGGCGGGTGCTAGCTCAGGTGTGCATTTCTTCAAGACAATGGCTGGTATGCCATCTCCACCACTAGCCTTGTGGGGGTCTAAGTTGGAGATAATGCCCACTACCAATGACGGGGTTATGTGTAAGCCGCTCAATATGGCCTCAGTTCTTGGAGGGAAGTCTGGTATGGGTACACCGGTGGAGTCGAGCGTTGAATTAAATGAGAATTTCCGAGCAAAGCATTCAGCCTTGTCGGTGGAGGAGGTCAAGACCTCGAACTGGTTGAATAAAGGAGGTATGGAGGGTTTTCTATTGTTCAGGACACTCTTGCAGACCCGCCAATAATCTTTGGAGCCAAATTTGCGAGATGCAATACGTTCATTCATCCAAGCAGCAAATATTGACTTAGCTTCGTTGAGGACATGCTTACACTCGTTACGGGCGGAGGCAAAGAGACGTCTATTGCAGTCCGACATGTCACTATGAAATAGGTGAAAGAAGTGATTCCTATGGGCAATGGCAGCTGCGCAAGCAGCGGAGAACCAAGGAGAGGAGTGCGACTTGACCTTAAATTTCCTTGAGGGGATGAAATCGTCAATTCCAGCTTTAACCCAGGATGAGACCTCAGAAGCACATTCTTGGACAGGGAGTGTAAAGACAACATCCCAGGGGACATCGCGGAGGGAGTCACGGAACGAGTCCCAGTCCACTCGTTGATAGTAGAACGAGGTTCTTGTGATGGGAGGTTCTTTGCGGGGTGTGGAGTTGAAGGAAATGTTGACAGATACCACGGCGTGATCGGAGTTGCCAAGCGGGCAGAGCTGTGTGGCGCTGCAAGATTCGGGGATGGAGGTAAAACACAGATTGAGAAGAGTTGAATGCCAGCCCAGTCAGTAGTAGCATTCTCGAGGCACTTGGTGTGATGGGCGTTAAAGTCACCAAACACGAATATATGAGCAAACGGGTGGAGAGAGAGGGCCTTGTCTATGTTGTCAGATATGCTATCGAGTATCCCAAAGTCTTGAGAGGATGGAGAGCGATAGAGGAAGAAGAGATAGCTTACGGCATTGAGGAGAGATATTCGGAGACACATGTACGAATGGCGATTCGAGAGACAACTCTCTGGCCAGGGGGAGATGGTCCTTGACATAGACACCAAGGCCATGCATGTGGGTTAGAGAGTCTTTCCTGAGGAGAGGAAGGTAGCCGGGGATCGAGAGATCAGAGGAGGGAATAGACGAGACAAGGTTTGTCTCACACAGAGCCAGTATATCCGGGCAGTTTGCAGTGAGGAAAGATTCCATACTGCAGAAGTTTGTTCTAATGCCATGGATGTTTGAGAATGAAATGTTGAGGGGTTTAGGTGATTTTTAAGAGGCTGGTTTAGGTTTACTTTTTTGATTCATTTGAGTCTTCATGTGGAGTAATTGTTGAAAGATAAGAAGGCCTGAAGTAAGAGAAGCAGATGGTTATTGACCGCAACATGAGCAGAGAGGAGTTGGCACAGCCTGCATCATAATGTGAATATATATATATATATATATATATATATATATATATATATATGTATGTGTATGTATATATATATATATATATATATGCATATGGAGCAATGGTTAGTGAGTCTAATCTTGTTGACAATTACTACTAGGTAATGAGTTTGATAGGTGTTTTCTTGATGACTTCAATCTTGACCTCTTCAAGTCAAGGGTCAATTATCATCTTCCCTTCTCATTTTCATCATCTTCCCTACCTACTGCCTCCTCTTTCATTCATATCACACACCTTATTCATCATTACCATTCTAACTGTAATGCCTTTTATTGGGTCAAATTCATTACAGAAAAAAAAGAATGTTTTATTTTCTGTTTTTCTTCAGACACCTTTATGTTCACAGCTGTTGTGTCAAAAAGCTCCATTGATAGGAATACATTTTGTCTATAATATATGTCTATAGCTAAGCCAAATAAACTTTGGTGATTAATGAAAGAGAAAGAGAGAAGTAGATAATACATTACCTCAAGTGAAATCAAGAAAGAGAAATGATCTGATTTGTTTAGAATTAAAGATTGTCTTTCTTTGTAATATCTCTCCATTAAAGTATGTAATTGTTTGCATTCTTTTAATTTTACTGGCATGCATTATTATAGCACCACTTGTACACATGATGTTCTACTTCATTCTCTCTTTTCAATTGATCAAACAGTTTATATTCAAAATGTAATCTAAGTATACAGAAAGAAAAGAAATGTACAAAAATTGAAAGTGGCATAAGACAAGTATGTGTCTTCTCACTGGAATTATTCAATCTATACAGTGAAGCATTTCTGAAAGAATTTCCTAATAGGATTTATTATTAGCGGCCACGATCTTAACAACAGGAACTTCTCCAGAAGGTAATAAAGGAAAGTGAGAAGAAAGGACTAACCATCAATTGTAAGGAGATAGAATGAATACTAGTCAGCAAAAAGAAGAGGCCATCATGTGAATTACAAAGATATATATATATATATATATATATATATATATAGAGAGAGAGAGAGAGAGAGAGACATAATTAGGAATTTAGTGAATTTGACACACACTGGATATAAACAGATGTAAGACAAGGATGTGTTTTCTCACTGCACTTATTCAACCTTTACAGTGAGTTGATTCTGAGAGAACTAGAAGTTCTACCAGGATTTATTATTAGTGGCCAGAATCTTAACATAAGGCATGCAGATGACACAGTGTTGAATGCATGCATAAGAAGGAAACTACAAGAACTCCTACAGAAGGTAGTGAAGGAAAACATACTGTGGTGGCATCCTAAATTTCAGTTCTATAAAGGAAGGTAATCTTTAGGAACCTATTTTGTCTTATTTTCTTTTCAATCTGAGAATAGAAACAGGTCACTTTATAGTATTAAAAGAATTAAACCATTTTGATAATTTAATAGAAAGCTTTTATTTATTAAGATATTTCCAGATTGAAATTCTTTGAACAGAAATATGATGAGAACAGAATTTCAATCTAGAAATCGTTGTGAATATGGCAATAAAGATGACGACAATCTGAACAATGTAAATAATTACAATACCTCATCTCAGAAATATAGACGAAAGCTAACATTTTACCTAGGCCATCGGCTATTAATATATATGATTATTTTTGGATAATCCAACAACCAGTTTGCTAAGCTTTTATAATTTTAAGAATCAGTTTGCGCAAACTGGTGTGAACCAGTAGGATGCCACCACTGTATATATATATATATATATATATATATATATATATATATATATATATATATATATATATATTATAAGTCAGAATTTTGGCAAAAATATCAAGAATTATATGTTTCATGCTTTTTTTGGTTTAATTAACTCCTATTAAGCTCAGATGCTGGAACTATTTAACCCATGAGTGCATAGTGGCCAATTAGGATTAGCATTAGTCATCAATCTAGATGAAGCAAAAAGAGCTAAATTTTTAGGGAAACTTTATTCAGTAACAGATTAATGTTTTTATTATTATTATTATTAATGAATATATGATAAAACCTTTCAGTAAGAAAAAGTATCTCTGGTCTGATTTGGTTCATTGTCTTTGTTTAGCTGCATATCAACACCTCTATGGGTCATTTAATACAGAAATCTAAATATTTTGTACGCAATTTAATTTTTTGGTGGGAGACATATTAATAATTTTTGTGATACAAATTTTACTAATTAACCCATATCTGAGGGGAAAAGAGGTCAATTTATACCTTTCTCAAGGGGTATTTTCATGTAAATGAATATAACAAACCCAAATGGAATTGGCCCTTTGATTAACAATTCCAAGCCATTATTCATTACATTACTCCCACATTCAAGCTTACAGCACCTGGTATTCTCAAGTGTTCACCCATTTAGATACTAACCAGGCTCAACATTGTTTAACTTCAGTGATCGTATGGGAATGGGTGTTTCAACATGATGTGGTCGTAAGCCTTTGGTATGAAAAATTTGTTTTGAAAAAACTACACAAACCTCAATTTTTAAGTGATTCTTTGAAATCCATCGAGTGGACTTGAACTTTGACCTATCGTGCTAGACAGTTTTCTCTCCTGAATCTGTCTTACATATTTATAAGTCTACAATTCATCCATGCTTTGAATATTGCTTGAATATATATGGTCAGATGCTCCTGCTTCTGAGATTCTTGATAAAATTTAAAGAAGAATTTGCAATGTTATTGGTCCTGACCTGGCAGCTCGGCTTCCCTCACTTTCCCATTGCCATAATGTAGCTTCTCTGTACATTTTCTATAAATACATTCATGGTAATTGTTCGGATGAACTCTTCACTATAGAACTTATATTTTATGAATTTAAATGTAGTATTAGATTGGCAGCAAGGTCCCATCAATTTACAATTGAATTGGCTAAATATAACTGCAAGTTCTATGCTAACAGTTTTTTTTTCTTGCACTCCTTGCTTGTGGATCTTTCTTCCAGCCCCACACTTTCCAGCCAACTTTGATCTTCAAAAATTTAAATGCAATGTCAGTCGTTATCTGCTGTCTTCCTGCTTACTCTTCTATTGTTTTTTCTTCTTAATAATATTTCTCTTTTTTCTTATTCTTTCACACTCAGTAAACCCTATAAATATTTAGTTGTATGGATATGAGTTTGTGACCCTGGGTTTCATGCTTTTGTGATCATCAGACAAACTCATCAATTTTATATATAGTTTGTGTCTGTGTGTTAGTTAATGGGTAGAGAGACAAAATGTCATGTGAATAATCATTTGGATTTCATGTGTAAATATATGCTTTGAAGTTCTAGCTTGTCTCTGTTGTGTCATCATTTTGTTCCTGCCTTGAAGTTGGACTATTTGCCACTCTTAGAGGAAAGCAACTGTTTCTGCTTGTTGTATTCCTCAACACCAGTGACCAGTATGATCAGGCTGCTACTGCTATCCAGTCAATACAAGCTTGTTGATCAGACCACAACACATCAAAGTCATCCATGCCCCATTCCCTGCCCTATGCAATTTTCCTCCACAATTATTCATTTACTTCATCAACTATAGTTAACTGGAGAATGATTTTAATAAATTTATTTTTTAAAAATCAAAGCCTTTTGTTTATCTGTAAATTACATTTTATCAAATTTATTGCTGTTTTTTTTTTTTTAAACATTTTATTATTTTATATTTATATAATATTATATATTATATCATCTTGATATTTGAAATTAATTTATGTGTGAGGGTGGGTGTTTCTCACAAGTGAATCTATGTGTGGGGGTGGATGCCGTTATATAAGTGTGTCTAAACAGGAGCATTAGAATATAAATGAGATTGCTTAGCTATAATGTGACCATATATATTATTAATATATTCATATAAAATGTCACCTATATATTCGATACACATTTTATCACATAGAGGTGTAAATGTGTAGGTGTTTATGTGAAGTAGTATTTATGCTTATTTGAATGGTTCCCAAGAGGCACTGTACAGGGTGAGGCAAAAGTCATGCATCGTAGAGATAATTTACTAAAAGTATAATTACACATGAAAATTTTATTTATGAGTTATTTAATTGTTATACATGTTGTTCAAAATGGCCCCTTCTTTTTCAAAACACATTTCAATTTGGTGTTTGCATAATTCATTAATGTGTTGGAGAGCTGTCATTTTGATGCATCCATTATTTAAATCTTTTTTTTTAAGTTCCTCAATATCTCCTGATATGCAACTGATTTCAAATGGCACCACAGAAAAAAATCCAAGGAAATGATGTCTGGTGCCCTTAGTGGCCAATGAACAAGACTTCTTTGACCTCTCCATTAAAATCTATGGTGCGCAACTTTTGCCTAACCCTGTATGTATGTGTGTGTGTGTGTGTATATATATATATATATATAGGGTGAGACAAAAGTATATATAGTAAAGGTAAAAAATCCGTTGGTATATAATCCAAGTGGATCCTAGTAATATAAAATATTAAAAGTGATCCACAAAACGACCGCAACATATTTATTTTAACAGAGCCAATAAATGAATTACCCCATATGAGGTAAGGTTTGAATTTTGTTTTGTAATACTATCTATATATATATATATATATATATATATATATATTATGAAATGGACAAAGTCCAACAATTATTTTAAGACATTTTTATGTTTAACATTCTTTTTATAGATACAAATATTTAAGTAAATGCTCTGTTTATAATAAACAGTATTAAACAACATTTACTGGGCTAAATGTCCAAGAAAAATTTCACAGAAAATATTCGTCCTCCGACAGGATTCGAACCTGTATCCTATACAGAACCATCATTTAGCTTGACGTGCCTTTACTGATTTGGCCACGAAGGAGCGTTTGGTTAGCAAGGTTGAATTTACTGTATTTAAACTTCAATCTTCCATGAATCTCTCATGTACATTCATGTCTGCTCATGGCGTATCAAATGTAAACAAATGACGTCACACATGATATGGACAAAGTCCAAAAATTATTTTAAGACATTTTTGTGTTTAACATTCTTTTTATAGATACAAATATTTAAGTAAATGCTCTGTTTATAATAAACAGTATTAAACAACATTTACCGGCCTGAATGTCCAAGAAATTTTCACAGAAAATATTCATCCTCCAACAGGATTCAAACCTGTATCCTATATGGAACCGTCATTTAGCTTGACGTACCTTTACCAATTTGGCCACGAAAATCCGTTGGTTTATAATCCAAGTGGATCCTAGTAATATAAAATATTAAAAGTGATCCACAAAAAGACTTATTTATTTTAACAGAGCCAATAAATGAATTACCCCATATGAGGTAATTTTGGATTTTGTTGTGTAATACTACCTATATATATATATATATATATATATAAAAAGGTAAAGTTAACAAATCCATTCGTATATAATCCAAGTGGATCCTAGTAATATAAAATATTAAAACTGATCCACAAAAAGAACTTAATGTATTTATTATTACAGAGCAAATAATTAATAAATAAAATCCAAAATCACCTCATATGTGGAATAGCCTATTTCAGCAGATGAAAATAGTAGTCATTTTGTTTTTTGGTTCATCATCTCTCATTACAAGGCTTTACTCAGACAAGCATTATGGCTTTTGTTTCTCCAGGTCAACTACTGATGTACTGACAACATTTTCAAAAAGTGTTTATCATGCTCTAGATAAAAATGATGAAGCCCAGGCTGTTGCATTGGTCATCTCAAAAGCTTTTGACAGAATTTGGCATTTAGGTCTTCTCCACTTTTTTGAACTGATCCAGTCTTTCCTATCAAATCATGAAATGAGAGTTATCTTGAACAGCCACTTGTCTAGATCCTTTTGTACTAATGCAGATGTCCACCAGGGCTCCATCTTTGATCCTACTCAGCTGGCATGAAGTGGAAAGACTATACTGAATCCATTGCTAGGTCAGCTGCTAAGAAAGTTCACTGTGTTGGGTGAGAATCTATCTTACATGTCTATAAGTCTATCATTTGTTCATTCATAGAATATTGCTGTCACATATGGTCCAGTGATCCTACTAATTATCTTGAGATCCTTGATAAAATCCAAAAAAGAATCAGTAATATTATTGGTCTTGATCTGGCAGCTTGACTGAAATCACTTTCCCACTGCCATAAGGTTGTCTCCCTGTGCCTGAAGGGAAAATCAAGTGTATTGGAAATGTATCAGTGGGGGATTTAATGAAATATACATACATTCTTTTTATCCCACTTCAAATGAACTCAAAAGAAACATTTTAGTATGTATACAAGGGGACATAATTTCCAATCTCTGGTTTAAAAGGTTTTTATATATGTATTACTTCAAATGTTATAGTGGATACTCGGATTTCAAATAGATGACCCATTTTTACTTTAAACAGTGTGTGTATTCGAGAAAAATTAATAAAGAAAATGTGCTCTCCAGCAGGAATTAAGCCTGTGTCCCCCTTTGTAGGAGAAACCACCTTTTGATTTGGTGTACTTTACCACTTGGCTACAAAGCGCGCCACATCAAATGGTGGCTTCTCTTACAAACAGAGATGTAGGTTCAATTCCAGCTAGATTGGAAGGTCGAAACTTGGAGATACCTCACAGGTAGGTGTAAATGGATGGAAAAGCATGGACTGAGACAGTAAAAAGACAATTATTGTTTTGAATTATAAGGGATAGGATGTAGTGGAGAGCCATGAATGCCCACGTCCTGATGATGCATAGTGCATAAAAGAAGAAGAACTGAAGGTATTCTTGACTCAGCAAGATTAATCTGTATTAATAGACTATTAATAATGAGTAAGGATTTTCGGTGCTCCATAAAATGTTTTTCTTCTGACAATTATTACAGGTAATAGAATAAATGCCTCCTTCAAGTTTTAGTTGGTTTCATGCCTATTTACAGTTTCTACTTGTGTCTATAAGAAAAATAGAGAAAAAGAGAAATATAGTTTTGCTTATTTTGAAATATAATCCATCAACTATAATCTCTTTCTGTGTGAAGTCAAGTAGATTGAAACATGACATTAACTAATGTAATTATGTGCTTACAGTAATCAATAATATTATAAATTTTGAGTACAGGAACAAATCAATTAAGCAGATATAAGTAAATCTGCAGATTGTCTCTGTAGGTGAAATACCAGGTGTGTGTAAAGATGTGTAAATGTTGATAAATATTTATACATTGTATGTGAAGGGAAAGCTTATTTACTTACTTTTAAGTACATAAATACATTTTAACGTTTGTATCAATTGATTTATTAATAAACACCAAAACTGGAAGTATGAACATGTTTAAATATTGATACAAATCTTTAAATAATCTTATATGTTTGTGTATACATAAACATGTCTGCATGTATTTAACTGTATAGGAGTGGAGGTTTGTCCCTTGTTTCCTCATTAGGATTGATTTTCTGGTTCCTTTTAAATTCTACTTCAACTCTATACTGCTAGCAACTCCACC